GCAGCCTCGCCTCTGCCTCTGCAGCGAGCCCCGGCCCCGCACCGCCCGGGCCGCACGTGGCTTTATTTATATTGTTTCCTTAGCGGTGAGGCTCGCCACGCAGGGGGCGCCGGGGTTCCGCGCGGCGTTCCGGGTTTGCAGCGGGGACTTCCCCACGTTTTAGGGCGGGGGAGAGAGGAGGTGAACTCAGCGCCCAGGTCAGCACCCTTAGGGCCCCCACTTTCCTGGATCCGGATGGAGCGAGGGCGGGACGGGAGGGGTGGAATTGGAAAGAAAAGAGGGTTGGAAGTTGCGTGGCCGATTTGTGTTCCGGAGGGGATGAAAGTACCCAAACCTGAGAAGGAAGGCATCTAAACAGGATTTATTTCTCGCAGCCAGGTATTTTGAGGCGCAGGGCCTGAGGTAGGTACGAAACTGAAGAATCCTCCGAACTCCGGGTTAGCCGTGCGCCCACTCGGATGAACTAGTTTTCCTTTTGCGCTCCTGTTGGTTATCCGCAAAGACATGAAAAGTGTAAAGGGGAGGTGGTGGTTGGGGGTGGGAGAGGTGTTCAGGCGAAAGGGCCGTCTCACGTGTTCACAGGTTACAAACCCCCGACTGACTTTCTTCCCGGCGGAGTTCGTTTCTGTTAGCATGAGAAAAGTATCAAAGTCAATTTTGACTCGGAAACACAATGGGCGCCTTCCGGAGTGGTCCTCGGCCGCGCGGGGCTCTTAGGGGCGCTCGCGTCGCCCTGGGCTGACTTGAGGCGTCGCCAGCCCGGGCGTGGGAGCGGGGCTCGTGTGTGGTTACTGCGGACCTGCCTTGCTGAGAGACGGAGACCAATCCCCGGGATTTGTAATCATGGATTCAAAACAATCAGAAGGAAGATACAATGTTTCCCTCAAACCCCTAACGCTCTGCTCGTGCCCCAATCAATATGCAAGACTTTAGCTGACCTTTACTCTAAATGCAAGAGGTGACAGAGTATTAGGTGGTCATCGGATCCCGGAGGGGACCCGGGGCGATATGTATACCTAGGATAAAGCCTTTCCTCTGCTCTGATAAAAAGTGTACTGGTTGATTAAGCAATCTCCTATCCCTATTAGACAGTAAGGACCAATTAGTCACGCATTTTTCCCGACAGTTGGCAGTTGGAGGGGTGGGGGGGGGAAGAAAAAAGTTTCCTAATCCGATCACCTACTGAGTACAAGCAGCAAGAGTCACCAACTTTTCAAAGTCAACTGTGTGTCCTTTCAATATCGACCTGACTTTGCAGAAATTAAGTAAATGGGTCTTCTTCCAGAAGAGACAGAGCCCTTGCTGTAAAAGGGCAGATGTAAAAATGCAAACTTGTAATTTGTCACAAAAGATAAACGCTTTTCTCAAAGGAATAGGTGCCAAGGTTCCAAAAACACTTCAAGGGACAAGGAAATAAACTTGCTTGTTCACAGAGTTAGAGTTTTGCTAATGATTTCTTGTAAAATTAGACTTTTACGACTTACTCTGTTCAAGATCTTTTTGACAAGCTTGTAAAAGTAGCAAACAGCTTGTGCTCATGAGTTCTCCTGATGATTTTGAAACTCTAGCAAGAAACTTGAGAACAATTCTACAAGGCATAGAAGTTACTGAAATCTTCCCTATGCTTTTAGTGTAGATGTTGTAGGTGAGATTTCTAATTTGTTGAAAAGGTTTGCTGAAACTTAGATTGGTTTTATTAAGGTGTTTGTGAGTTAACTAATATGGTTTGTTAAACTTTGTCTTATTACACCATGAATATGTGTTTTACAATTGTGTGTTAAGAAATGATTTTCTACCTATAATTCTGGATATACCTTTCCCCTTTTTCCTTGTAGGAATGTGGTGCTTTAGCGAACTGTTTTTTATAAAAGAACCACAGGATGTAACTGTCACAAGGAAGGACCCAGTCATGTTAGATTGCCAGGCTCATGGAGAAATTCCTATTAAGGTCACATGGTTGAAAAATGGAGCAAAAGTGTCTGAAAATAAACGGATCCAGGTTCTGTCTAACGGCTCTTTATACATCAGTGAGGTGGAAGGCAAGCGAGGAGAGCAGTCTGATGAAGGATTTTATCAGTGCCTGGCAATGAACAAATATGGAGCCATTCTTAGTCAAAAAGCTCATCTTACCCTATCAAGTAAGTGTTTTTAAGTTTTTGATGGTTTTACATTTTTCATTGCTACATTCTGATGATTGCTCCACTCATTTATATGCTAATCCTAAAATCATACAAACATTAAGAATTTTCCTGGAGATATTAGTTGATGCCAGTAGAAAGCATGTAGAACAATATGAGGGGGGAAAATGTAAATTCAAATGAGTGATTGAGAAGAAAAGTCAAATTAGAACACCAAAACCTATAGAGGTGGCTTTACATAAATTTAAGTGTTTCATTGTGAAGAGGGTTGAGTGTAAAAGTTTGGCCAACACAACAGTTGTTCTAAAAGTCTCATCTTTTGTAAAAGAGTAATTAAATTTTTTGAATTACAAGCAAATCTTTCTGCTTTGTAAAAGGCCCTTGAGTGCTAAATCTTTCTTATAGGCCAACCTTCCATGTCTCTGACTGCTTTAAGATCACCCATGTTGCTTTTAATTGTAGGCGAGGGCATTGGTCAGTAACTCTCAAGCCTTTGAAGTACTCCTAGTCTTTTCCTGCTGAGAGAGAAAGAGATTAAGGCCATTTCCATATTATGCCTAATGGACTTAAACCAGATCTGCCCACTTTTTCCCAGTTGTCATAAAGTTTGCTGTCTAATGATTTCCTTTGTATCAACAACCGCATCAGATCAACCATTTGTCTAGGTGATCCATTGCTTGGTGGTTGACTGTTGAGTGTAAAGATAGGCCTAGGATAGACAGGGTGCTCCTTGTTCCTACTGAGGCTTTCTGCCTCTTCAGGTGGTCAGGCACTGCAGCACAGCGCTCAGTCTTGTAATAGACAATTTAAATCTTAGACACACACACAACTGAATCTTTTAGTTTTATAGGCATCATAGTTACATGCTTTTGTTGATCCACAAAAGAGGTTCTGCGCTGTACCTACAAATTGATCATATAAAAAATGAGCAACAGGAAGAGGGAGCTCTTGGGATAAAGGTATAACCTTTAGGAAATAGTTTCTTCAAAGTCTAGAGTGGAAATTTAGGAAGCTATTGGCGGGGGTTTCCTAGGTGATTTTATTGTAACTGTCTATGGCTGCATTTATGTCACCTTCATATTAGTAACTTATTTTATTAGTAATTTATTATAAAATAATGATTAATGGTAGATAAATTGCAAGCAAAGATATTTTTGTATTGAAATATGTCATAAAAGTAGAGAAGTTTCCAATTCTAGCCCCCTCCCCTCAAGAATAACGTAAACCTGAGAGAATTTCTGGTAAACTTTCTTTTTTTGCTGTAATCATTGGCCAGTAATTATTTTTGTTGTTGTTGCTGAGTAATGGTTTTTCTGTGCAGTACTGTTTTCAGAAGAGTATGCTTTTATATTATCTTTCGTTAATTTAATTTTTGTCTAATGTAGAGTTGTTTTAGAGAGTTGTAATTCTTCTATTTTTTTGAGTTTGAGAAATCTTGCATTTTCATACCCAGAAACTGTAACTGATATTACCTTGCTGGAGAGAAGGACAGGATAGGAAGGTGGAGGGAGGTGGATGGGCCTTGAAAAGATGAGGCATTTGTCATGAACACAAGTTATTTCCAGGACCTCCTTGGAAGCCTGACAGAATTCAAGGATACCCAGAAATACTTTGAAAGCGCACAGAGCTTTCAGATTTCATAGTTCTGAACAGCGTAAAATATGCTAGTAACGGCGAAGCAAATGTTAGTATAGGCTTTTTTATTATCTTTAGAAAAATTAATAATAAATATTTAATTATATATGAATCATTTTGAAGGTTCCTATGAAGTAGTTTTCAGATTATAAGTATCAAAAACTTTACAGTGAAACGATTTAGAACATTGCTTTGCTATTAAATATTAAATATCAACTGTAGTCAGTTATAGGGACCCCACTTTTCATATGAGTACATTTTATTTAACTCTGAGGAAGTATTTTGCTAAGAACTTGCATTTAGTATTATAGATTTAAAATGAGAAATGCATAGTGGGTTTAGGTTTTTCTTTAGAAATAGGAGATTTCTTAGAGATTCTGAACCCACAAAATAGTTCTGATATCTAAGATGCAATGTCCACTGATGTAGGCTCAGATGACTTTATCCTGTGTTCAGGGTAAAGATATAATACATATTAAACAGGAAGAGAATAGGCATTAAGTGGACATTCTGGGTTTTTTTAAAAAGCTAGCTCTGTCCTAGTTATTGATAGCAGCAGGGGGCAAGTATGTTCTTTTTATTTTCTGGTCAAAGATTTTGTCAGCAAGCATTGGTTCAGAAGTGTAATAATATAGCACCTGGAAATCTAAAACTTGAATCTAGGCAAGTTTTAGGTTTTTAACACACAAGCAATCAAGTCTTGGTTTCTAAACTTAGGAACTAGAAGCTGAAAGTTGCACTCTAGGCAAGAATTCCATTATTCATGTGTAAATTAGGAATTCACAGGGTTAAAAGGTTAGAAACTGGCCAGGATGAGGTTTACCCTTGTGATAAAGAGCAGATGACCCTCATTCATTGGCCAAAGCTTTCATGTAGCTCTTCTGCAAAGTTAGTTATTGCCACGAATTGTTCTTGAGGAATGCAGAAATTCAAATGTGAACAGGCCTTTCCTTAAGTGTCACTGTGGAGCCTTATCTCCCAAGCACATCAGAGCCTGCTTCAGGGACAAGGTTCCTCCCCAAAGGCCTGGAGGCTTTGCTTTCCTGTTGTTCATCCAAGCACAAAAGAATTTGTCTACCTTAGTTTATCTAAGGCATCCCATTTTAAAGGAAAGTATAGGGTTAAAGTAATATTTAGTTTAGTTTTTTTTAAAAAGTAATCCTTTTTTATTGATAAATGTTTTAGCTGTTTTACATTTTCATGTATTAGGAATACAAAGGGTAGTGATGTGTGAGACCCTTTTTCTAGTTGTGTACAATAGTAAGCACAGGTTAGCCGTTTCCTATAAATTTCAATATTTTAAACTTTTGGCAAATCAAATTTTCACTGTCAGGGGTGCTAAGTCCTCACTATGTAAATAATTTAAATGTTTTAGAAGTAAGAAATAATCTATGGACATCTTGACGTTTCTTGCATTCTCAGTGTTGTAAGATAAATTTCATAGGAAAGCATTAGTGTGGTAAAACGGTCTCATATTTCAACAAGTTTAAATTAAGATAAGAGACATTTGAGAGAAGTAAAGGGGGCGGGTTGTGTTCTGTGATGTGTAAAAGACTGGCTGTAAGCTAGTGATTGAACAGGAAGCTAGTTGTTTATTTCCTTTCCATAAAAGGTGGAAATTGAAGTCTTAGGGTAGAGGGAAAGAATATAAAGCTGGCTTATACTTTGTACGTTTTTCAGCACTCTTCACTTGGGTGGAAAATATTTTTTTAAGTGAGGCTTTATTTGTAGCTGGAAGAACATAGGGATTGTAACTTTATGATGGATTTCTTTCCCAAAATGTTGGGGTTATTTTGTCATTCCTAAGGTTGTTTGGGGGGGTCCATTTCTATAATTTTTAAAGGATGCTGATTGTTTTCCATGAATAAAATGTTTGTCACTCAGTTTAAATGGAGATTAAACTTGAATTTTTTTTGTGGGAGATTAATGAAAAACTGTCTGTGAGTGTGGTTTCTTTTTAAAGAGTTACATATAAATTATAGCCGAGAGTTGATGTTGAAATGTAAAGTTACATATATTGAAAACGTTTAAAGATTAATGTTAAGAAGAAAGAGGGTGGATAGTATATTGAAAAGAGAAAGATAAAAACTATGAGACTGTTAGCCAAAATTCTGAATCTTATTAATGATCCTGGACCCAAGATTTTGCTACATTGTCACTTTTTATTGAGATTTGTAGATGCTGTAAAGGACAGAGGGTTGGTTACCTGTGTGCATGTTTGCTTCAAATCATGCTGTCGAGTTACATGAATTCAAGAGTGCTAACGTCAAAGTAAAAGTCATTTGATTTTGGAGAAATAAGACAGAACTGAGGTATTTAGAGAGATCATTCTGGCAACACTGTGGATAAGGTTCAGATCATGGTTTCTGGGATCCAAGAAAAATTATCTTTAAAGAGAAGGGGTATGGTTCAAAAGTACATGTTTAACTTAAAAATTGACTGTCTTAAAATTGCATAAGCTTACTCAGGGAAGTAAAAGCACTTACAGTTCTACAGTCTTATTTACAATGACATTTGGTTCTCAGAGCCTGTCTACTTGAAAGGTTTATCAGGTACCTGATAATCACTGGGTAATGGAACCAGTTTTTCCCACTTTGCAGTTGATTAGCGAGGATCATTTCTCATCTTCAGAAATGTGTAACACTATCTCACTGTTTTTCACAGTTGGAAATCTTATTTTTTAACAAAGCAGAATCCACCAAGGGGTAAAATTATAATTTGGTTCATGATGTATATAAATATGTTTGTTTATTTTGTTTCTATCCAGCTTCCTAATGGAATTTTGAAAGGGCATTTGGTATGTCCCTTTTGTCAACTATCTCTGATTATTCTAGAGAAAGGGTCTCACTCAGAGCAGTTGTTTGCCCAGGGATTTGTTGTCATTGCTCCTGAATTTAACAGCTGGGCCTATCAATGAAGTCCAGAGCATTTTAAAAGAATAGCAAAAAACAAATCTTTTAACCAGGGTTTTAGGTTGAAGGAGTTTTTCAATTAATAAATAAATGCAGTTGAAGTTACTTTTTTGAAAACTCTAATATTCTTGACTATAATTTTGAGAGATGATATTTATCTGTCATAGGTGTAGTTACTCAGTTAGGATTGACTACTTTCAGCTTTTAAACTGACAATTACTATTTAATTTTTTAATAGTAAAAAATTAATCAAGACATTGATTTGTTGTCCAACTTATTTATGTATTCATTGGTTGATTCTTGTATGCGCCCTGACCAGGGATTGAACCCACAACCTTGGTGTATCAGGATAACACTAACAAACTGAACTACTTGGCCAGGGCCTGTCAATTACCAATTATATGAAAAATAATCAATAGTGTTGAGTGAGGCATTATGTTGAGGATCATACTT